ACTGAAACTTACAAAAGAGCACTGCAATCCAGAAAGCCATCGTACAATATCGTGCAAGTGTACCTGTCAACATCCAAACTTTCCTCCTGGAGAAGAGTAGCCTCACTGGCTCAGATGGCATCTTGTTTCCTGAAGACAAGGCAGTTAACTCAGCAGAAACAAAGAAATGTAGCCTTATATGAGACACCAGTAGGCCCACTTGGACATTACTAAATGTCATCAACAAATAGCTAGGAATTGAGAAAGAAATCCAAGTGATTCCATTTCTTGACCAAACTAATAATCAAGGGCACATACCTAGAGTAGGGATGTCAAATATCGGTTAATTGAATAGTCAAGTAACCTCATGACATTTTATCTGTTAGTCGACTATTCTATAGTCCCTGGGGGTGGAGCCAGCAGCTAGTGTATCAGAGGCAGCAGTGCAGGGTGACAGGCAGGAGCTGGTCTGCAAGGGGAGCCAGTTTAAAACACAGCTCCCCTAGCGGACCGGTTGCCTGTCACCCCATGCTGATGCCTCTGATTCAGAGGCATCTGGGGATGGGGATGTCTGAGCTCCCATGCAAGACAGAACTGAGCTGGGCTATCTGCCAGTCTGGCTCTTATTACACTTTAAATGCAGACATGAAATGGGGGTAGATCCCGGACCCAGCATGAGCCAGGACTTAACCACACTGCCTGCCCACTCGGCTCCTAATACACTTTAAAAGCAGAGCTGCAGCAGAGGTAGGTCCCAGCCCCGTTGCAAGCCAAGACTGAGCCAGGCTGCTGGCCAGCCTGCTAAAAATTTTACTGGCAGGGAGAGAGGGAGAAGGAAATGCATGTAGTGTTTAGCATTAACCTATAAGCTTTTGCTTATTGATTAATCGACTACACTATTACATCCCTCACCTGGAGGCCTGCAAATTTGCAGATATCCATTTTATATCTGAGGGCATGTTCGCATATGCGGATACCAATTTTGTATCTGCACAGTACTCTACACACATCCTATTTAAAAAAACATTAACATTTCTCAGTTGTCAGACTCAGAAAGTGGGGCATAAAGGGTGACTCTTGTGAGCTAAGGGACAGAAATATATGGCTGTAGTCAAGTACTTTATTAGATATTTAAAAACCACACATTTACCTGATGCTCTCTGACGATGTCATACAGAGACTGAAGAATGTGTCTGCATGGGTAGGAATAAATGGCCAGTTTTCAGAATGGGTAGAGATGACTAGTGTAGAGAATGGGTAGAGATTAATGTGTCTGCGTGGTGGAAAAGTCCACATGAACTTGTCACATTGGGCCATAATTTGTTGGGGAATAATTATTATTTACTGACAAGTAATACTTTTGCTACATTAAAAATAGTCTTTGCCCATTTAAGGGTGGTCCTCTTGTTAGAGCACTAGCCTAAAACTTAGAAGATGTGGGTTTAATTCCTTACTCTGCCATAGCCTTCCTGTGTAACCTCAAGCCAGGCACTTAGCAACTCTGTATCTCTATTTCCCATCTGCAAAATAGGGATAATAATACTCTACCTCTCAGAGATAACGTGAGATGGACTATGAAGCACTTTGTTATTTAGTTGTGAAAAACTATACGAGGTGGGTATTATTTGTTGTTGCTGATTTGTTATTAATTATGATTTATTAATTATTGATTATTAATTAGTAATTATTATTAGTAGTAGTATTAGTATTATTATTATGCCAGTGATTAAGTAATAATGTAAAGAGTGAAGCAGACCCAAAAACAAGACTGTCAGTTTTTAGATTTACACAGTTCTGGTCTGATCCAAGTACTATTAATGTAAATGGAAAGACTCTTGTTTGACTTCAGTGAGAGTGGGATTATTGATCCATTTCACTGGAGTGTAACCCAGCATCCCAAAGGGAAAAATCTAAAGCAAGCCAAATAGGATGAAAGAAGTCCAAAATATGCATATAAATTACAGATTGAGAAAAGGAATGCTTTTAAGATGCTTCCTGAATTGTATCCTGGTGTCTTGAGAGCAAAATCAGATAGTGACATATGTTAGATTACATACATGCCAAATTTCTAAAGGTTTTATACAGACAAGTTCAAGGCAAGTAAATACTGGAGGAACAGAACGTATTTGCAGCTCATCCGAGATCCAAGGTATGGCCTTCTACAACTTATCACTTAGTATTACAAACTAAGTCTTTGGGTAAGCTCCTTCAAGGTGATCCTTCTTCTGTGTTTGTACCTCACCCTAGCACAATGGTGGGCAACCTGCAACCCAGGGGCTGCATGAGGCCCACAGTGGACCCTCTGTCTGTGGAATCCCCCTCCCCACATGCCTCTCGAGCACTGGGGTGCTGGAGTCCTGCACTTTATTCTCTTCCCACTCAGCACTTCCGGGGTGCCATGAATCTGCTGATTCATGCTCTGTCCTCACTCTTCCCCCCAGAGCTTGAACAGCCAGGAACATCTGATTCACAGCTATTCAAGCTCTGGGAGGGAGGGGGCAGAGCGGGAATAGAGTGTGAATCAGGCAATTTGTGGTGCTCCTGAAGTGCTGGGATGGAGGGGGAGGAGTAGGAAATTCAGGGCTTCAGAGCCCCAGTGTTCCAGAGGGGTGTGGGAGATGAGGGCAGAGAGGGGATGAATGGGCCGCAGGTGGAACCCCAGTGGGCTACATGGTGCAGGTTGCCCACTACTGGTCATGCAGTCCACCGAGATGAAGGAGGGCCACTCATACGGCTCACTCAATATTCTTGCTTGCCATAGCACAATGAGGCCCTTGATTATGACTAGAACTTTTAGGCACTTAGTAATACAAATAAATAATAATAAATAAGGACAATTCTGCTTCTACTATTGAGGAATTATAGACAACCAGTAACGCAGCCAGACTTTCCATACTGAGATTACTACCAGGCTGCTAGAACTTTTTTAAAGTGTGGGGGTGTACTGAGTTGTTTTCCTCCCCTCCCCTCACACACCTGTTCATGCTTCTCACCGCCCTACAGTGAGGTCACATCTAAGGTTGCCAACTGTCCCAGACCAGACACCATAGCCACCGGATCAGCAGCAGGAACCCGTGTGGCAGTGCAGCCTACAGTGCCAATGGCCTGGACCCTAAGGATGGCAGGCTACTGAGCTTGCAGGGAAGGTGGGCAGCAGGACCCTGGGAGGTTCTAGAGCTGATGAGGGCCCCAGGCAGTCAGCAGTGGAGCCAGGACCCAGGCACGAGAAGCAGGGTGAAAATCCTGGGGGCACTGCAGGACCTACCAGAACCTCCACTTCCCACATCTATGATCACTACACAGAGTCCTTTTTAAATGCTGTGAGCAACACATCCAGAGAATGAATGATCCGGTAACCTGAATATTAAAGAAACTCTTATATCAAAGCCAGAAGGGGCAAAATAATCTCCATTGTAGTTGAAGTCAAAGCGTTTGTTTCTTTTCACTTTGTTTAATACTGTATTGTGTTAATTACAAATGGTTTAAGAAATAGCATTGCCAACAACTCAAAGTTTATAGTAAGTGTGTGTAGAAGACCTATAATTCAAATATATTGGTTTTATTCTAACAACAATTTTTCACAATACCCTACTATACAGCTTAAAAGTTCAGAGAGTAGGAAAGAATAACATTTAAAATTAAATAAACTCTAGTTTAATTTAAAAAATTTTTTTTAAATAATGTAAACTTATTAGCTCTTCAATAGGAAAAGCCAAAAATAAAAACAACTCTGCATTTGTAAAGTTCAGTACAATAAAAAATTAATATATGTAAAATAGATCTTATTGGATATAGGTAAAAAAAAGGAATAGTTCCTCCGACCCTACCAGAAAAATCTAGATTCTGATTAATCTTAGTGTAACAGCCTTATAAAATCTTGTATCTGGCACCTGGACCCTGACGAATCACATAGGTTTTAGATTCTAATCTAAAAAAAATTTACCCTCTAAAAGACAACAAGTGGCTAGTGCAGAAGTAGTTACACATGTGCTCTATTTAGTTAGGAGAAATTGAGTTTGAGCAGAAAAAAATAATAGCATTGTTTAGTACAGGTTTTTGCTGTGGTCTTGCATCAGGGTCTGGAGTTTTATGATGGCCTGGTAATAGCATAATGTCTTGTCTTATTTTATAACCTAGTTTTGGGTTTTGGGAGAAAATCATTTGGTTCAGATGCTGCATATGAGGTTTGCCATTCTACTGCACCAGGATATGTCAGGATCTGTTTTTCCCCTGGTGGATTAGATACATCATCATCTGTCTATGATTATGGAGTTCAGAGATACAATTTTTGGATTCAGTGTGGTTGAAGTGCTAGTTATGGCTTTTCCTGGGATCTTATGGCACAATAGTAAAGTCTAGCTTTGTGCAGAACTGCAAGGGGAAACATTTGACTAATCCAACAAGTGCAGGGGGGAAGTGGGGAAGGGGGAAGCAAAAAGTAGCTGAATCTTGTTGCCAAATGTGTGGTCTGTGGCACTTTTACCTCAGGTGTGTTAGGCTGGAGCTTATTCTGGAGGGCCAGCAGTGACAAGCCATGTTGTCTATTTTGACAGCATGTTTTGTGGTGTGGAACCAGCCAGCATCATACTCTCCTCTATTCTGCTTTAGCAAAACTATGCCTAACATTTCTGATGACACAAACATGGCTGCTGTGGCCTGTTTACATGAAAACAATAAGCAGATCCCAGGAGATTTTTTTTTTAAATCCAACTAGTAGTGCTGCGGATTTATTGCTTGACTATCTCTGTTCGGTGTGTCCCATTTAATGAGTCACCAAAGGACACAGCTCTTTACTTCCTCTTCCCTAAGGTCGCCTAATTATGTTGTTGTCACGGGGGAAGTGGGACTGGGGGGACCCGTGCACAAGGGATCTGATTCGCCTGTGCCAAAAACAACAGCCTGGCCGGTGTCTCTCCTGCCAGAGCCCCCGGAGGCATTCACGCCACTTGCCAGGTGCACACGCAGGAGGGCGCCGCTTAGGCTGGGACGCACCCGCAGGTTGGGGAGCGAGGGCAACTTACCAGATCTATGAATGTCAGAAATTTCCAGCTCCCTCCAAAGGTGTGGTGCGCGGGCATGTCAATGGCCTTGTAAGTGCACAGGATGGAGAAGTAGGAGAGGAGGATGGCGACTCTCAGCACCTGGCAGGGCACGAGCGCCATGTTGTCACTTTTGCAAGCAGGCAGGGCCTGACAGCGGCTGCTTGCTGCAAGGCAGCGGGGGGGCGCTGGGAGTGGGGGAGAGCCGGGAAGCGCGCGGTGATCAGCCCGAGGAGAAAACGCGCTTGTTGTGTGCACGAGGGAGGCGCCCGGGCTGGGCAGAGCGAGCTCAGCCTGAGCCCTGCTGGCAGCAGGGCGCTTCCTGGGGCAATGATGGGCGGGGAGGGGAGGAGATGCTGGGGGAGGGGTTGCCATGGCAATCTGCTAACCCTGCCTGGATATGCTGCTGCTGCTGCTGCTTCAGCCTTAGAAGCCCGTGCAGCAGGCGACCCCGCCGGGCTGTGTGAGCGTGGCTCGTTGTATAGCCCTCCGGCCGGCGCTACACAAAGCGAGCCAAAGTGGCATGCAGAAATAACCCCGGACGGAGTCCTTGTCTTCTAAATCTTTGAGGTTTCAGCCTCGCTGCCCCTGCACTGATGGAATCCAGTCTAACTGCAGTCTGAGCATCTGTTCACAAATGCTGGCATGCACTCCTTCGCACTCAGGAGGTGCCCCCTCTCCCCTGTGCCCCTTTGCACGTCAGTGGCCTTGTAAGTGCACAGAAGGAAAGGAGAAATTTTAATTACTAAATAGGGTGCCCCACATACCCCCTCCCTGCATCCTCTCCCCTGCAGGCATCAGTCACCACTGCCCCTGCATATGCCTGCACACAGATGCTTACATCACATATAATAGAGAAACTTGCTAGCATGCATGGACACAACCTGACACCCAAGTGTGTGTAATTTCCCCCCCCCACACACACAATTGTGCACATATGGTCAAAGATACAGAACCACACAAATGAACAAATTCACAGGTAGTTTACTATGTTCACAAATACATTCTCACACACAGATTGCTCTCACATCCGTTTATAAAGAAGAGTAGGTGAATGTGTGTTTATATGAGATGATGTACCTGAGTACATGTATAAATAAATGTATATTTGTAAATGCATGGTTGCATGCATTGTTTTTTGTCTTAGAGAATGGTGATTACGAACCTCTTAGAAATGTAGCTTTATTTTTCTTGTCTATAGATCTAATTAACATGTTTTAAATCATAATACAATGGTATTTTACATATCTGCTTTTAGGTCATCTGCAGTTCCGTGCAGGCGGTATTGCCAGAATATTTGCAAGGTTGCTGAGTTTGTTTTAGTCTAGGAAATTAGAGCACAATAGATGTATATATGTAGTTCAATAATGCAGAAAACCAATGACATCAGGTTTGTTTTTAAACTTGTCACTATTTTATTAAACACTTGGATCTCCTTCACCAAAAGGAATATAAGTTGAATACACTCCCAGTTTGCCTTCCAGTAAATGCTGTGAGATATCAGTTGCATCAGACTGTGGGTAGCAGATATTTATTTTACCAAGTCAGATGATTAAGTGTTAGCCAACTAAATATGGGGTCAATTTATGAAAAGACAACATAGGCATTTCCTGTGGGTCCATTAAAACAGGTGTCTACTCCAAATAGTCTGTGAGTCACAGGGTACATCTGTAGTGGGGGGTTTGAGGGAAAGGAGTGGGCAAATAATTTTGTGTTCATAGTCCCACTGCAGAGAATTGAAGTTGAACAGACAAAAGAATATAAATATAAATGTGCTCTGAATGCCTGGTTGTGCCTCAATGAAGTCAGTTCAAGCTTTACCTTTGACTTCAATGGTTGCAGGATCAAGCCCTGTATATATTCCTTATGTGAATGCACTGCAGAATTGCACACCAGTCCCATACCAATGTACTATTAGTAAGTAAACTGAAGCTTTTAGGACCATTGCTGTATAGCAACATTCACTTTTTTTTTAAATGAGACCTCCAGACCCTACATGTTTGCTGCCAATAACGAAGCATTCCCACCCATACTTCTATAAAACAAATTCTTGAAGGAAAGTACTAAAAGAGAGCTCTCTAAAAGTTCCTCAGACCAGGGCCTTGTCACCATCTGTGTATTTTATTGCACCAAGTACTCAATACTTAAAAAAAAACATAGTATTTTTATGAGATATGATGATGAGAGCTAAATAAAATGGCCTTGTATGGATTGATTTATTTTACTACTGTCACGAGTTAAGCTAGGCTTTTAATGGGTTCAAATCCCAGCTCTGATCTGTGCCTGGGGTTCCCCCTCCCTAATCACATGCATTGAGTGGTCAGGTGACTGCAGGCTTCTATTAAAAAGGAAGTTTTTCCTCTCTATAGGGAAGGTTAGGGTTGAGTCAAAGGTGAGGCCTGGAATGACTTGTGAAGGAATTGGCTGTCAGGAAAGAAAGGCTTATGAGGAAGTAGGACATAAAAGACCATGGAATAGGAGAATTAAGAGAAGAAAAATGCCTAGGTAATATAGTTCTAATATGAGCTGAAGGTCTAGTGTTGGTAACAGTCCTTGTTTAGGGGCCACAGGAGCTTCTGGAGAGGGTAGGAGGAAACTCCTTTCAACTCCTCTGTCAGCAGTGGAGGCGGCCAGGGCAGAACCCGAATGAAGGACTAGAGGCTGAATTGATGGGGGTGACAAAAGAAAAGATTATTGGGATTGAGAAGGGCTTAAGAAGTTTGTGTGTTTGGACTTTCCCTCACAGTGAAAAGGCAGACCTCTTAATGGATCTGAGTGGAGGAGTAAATATCAAATCAGTCTGCTAGCTTAGGAGGGCTATTGTTTTCTTCCTTCAACAGGCAGCAACTATGTTTAGGGTTGCCAGATGGTTTCAACAAAAACACTGGACACACTTAACATTACGTCACAATCTACATTACATCTTATTTAGAAAATACCAGATATCTATATTTGTTCATTTATATTTTCTCAATTTGTTTCCCAAACAGAAAGCTCAAATACGGGACTGTCCGGTTCAAAACCGGACACCAGCAACCCTAGCTATGTCTGGGCAGGGTGAGATAAAGTACAGCTGCTACTACTATCAACACCATGTGTACAGATCTGCCCTTTTCAATCAATACCAGAACAAACAATAAGGACTTTGCGATCTTTTCCAGTTATACTGATGCTATTTTAAGGTTAGGACAGGGTCTCAAACTTTATTGCACTGGGACTCCGTTCTGACAAAAATTTCTGTATAGGACCCAAGGAGGAGGAACTAAGTTTGCCCAAGCCCTGCTGCCTCAGGAAGGGGAGACAAAGACAAAGACTGAAGCCCACTGTTCCAGGTGGTGGGAGGGGCCCAAAGCCCAAGGGTTTCAGCCCCAGGTAGAGGGCCTGTAACCTGAGCCCCAGTGCCCAGGGATGAAGTTGTTGGGCTCAGGCTTTGCCCCTAGGCCTCAGCAAATCTAAGCCAGCCCTGGTGACCCTATTCAAATGTGTGTGATCCCACTTTGGGATCCTGACCCACAGTTTGAGAACTGCTGGATTAGGAGAAGCAGTAGCTCTGTGGCATGCTCCCTAACCTTACAGCTATCAGCTGAGGCCTTGGTATCTGAGTTCTGCAGTGTGCAGAGGGATAGTCAGGGAACCATCAGCCTCTGTGGCACACACTGTGAGCCCTGGCAGAAACAACACTGTCTTCAATTGGCCTTTTCAGTCAGGCTGTAGTGGTAGAGCTCTGGTTTAGCCAGCAGTCTGTCACATACCTCCCCTCTTATGAATTGCCATGTTCCGCCTGCCTCCGCCCTCTCGTGGGCCCCTACCTTGACACCTCGGTGTCTCCCACAGCTGAGTGAGTAGGAGCAGCCTGCCAGTCCTTAAAACTCTCTGCCCTTTGGGGTGACTTGTCTCTCTTTTTCTTGGGGTCCTCCTTGGGGAGCTGTCCCTTGCTCTTGGCTGGGTGATCCTTGGGGACCCTGCCCTGGGGTACCACCCTCCGTGGGTCACTCTGGTCTTTGCTAAGGGGGTCTTTTCCCTTTGGGGGAAAATTCCCAGTTGTGCCCAAGCACTCCCTCAGGACTTCTTCGGGAGGCTCCTTTGTTCACTACTCACAAAAATTACAGTGGAAAAGGCCTGGCCCATATAATTCAGGCCTTGCCCATAGGTCCACAAACCAAATGCACCTCTGTTGGGGCCCTTCCTCCAATACTGCTTCAACCTGCACTGTGCCTCAGTTTCCCTCATCTCTCCATCCATGGTTGATGTCTCCTTTTCTGGGGAGTGATCCAACTGTGCCTCCTTTCCTTGGGAGGGGTTAGGGCTACCCATTAGCCCCAGACACACTTCCCATCTCTGTCCCCAGCCGTAGCACTGATGACTATGCTTCTGTCTCTCTTCTGTCTCTCTCTTCCCCCGAGGCTCCCTTCTCTCCTCCTGTGGCAGACTGGTCCCAGTCCCGAACTACCACCACTGGGTATGGTAGCTGGTCCACTACGCCTACCTGCTTCCACCAGAATCTGCCCCTCATTTCCAGTGGCACCTGGGCTATTGGGTAGGATCTCTTGTCCCCACGAATGCATTCTAGCACCACCAGTGCTCCAGAGACCGTCCAGTGTGGCCTCACCAGCTCCTTCTGCACTAGTGAGTGGGATGATGTGGAGCCCATTAACCCTCGCTGGGTCTTTCTCCCCACCCGTATCAGGACAGTGGGCAGACTGTCTCCTGTCCGGTCCTCCCACTTGAGTCAACCCACAAAACCCGATATATCCATATTGTCCAGGCAGTCTCACTTCCTATGCCCTGCCTTCCCGCACTACCAGCAGGTGATTGTGCCACCCCCACAGGTTCTCCTTGGGTGCCTCCTTCTTCTCTGGGCCTTTCCCAGAAAGGGGCTCTTCCAGCTTCCTTCCTCATTCCTTGTCCTTGTGGGTCAGCTTTCTCTCCAGGGAACCTCTGCCTCGGTATACTCCTCCACCAGCCTGACCGCTGCATCCACTGTGTCAGGCTGGTGGCATCTGCCCCACACACGGATATTCTCCGGCAGGGCTTGCAGCAACTGCTCGAGTACGAGCGAGTCCATTTCTTCTTGCATTGTCTGTGTCTCTGGCCTCAGCCAGCAGGTTTCCCAGTCTATTAACTTTTGAGCAAACGCCTGGGGCCTTACTGCTGCTGTCCATCGTGCTGATTGAAATGTCTGCTGGAACTTTTCCATGAACAGACCCACCTGGTCCAAAATGGCCACTCTCACTGCCTCATAGTTGTGGGCTTGATCGTCCCCCCAAGGCCACATAGGCCACCTGAGCCTTTTCTGCCAGGTGGGGAGCCAGATGCAGGGCCCAGGTAGCCCTCTC